ACATTCTCCGTCGTCCACCACCCGATTGACGCATATTTCGTTATTTGCTAAACCGTGTCAAAAGCGAGGTGGGCCAATCAAGACCTGGACTGATACGCTGAGAAAAGATTTTGAACGTATAGGTGGACCAGCAATATATGGACTTAGACGATGGAAAAAGGAATGGCTTCCATTACTGTCGATGATGGCATCAGACCGCGCCGCTTGGAAGAGTCTTACCCTTGGAGCCGGTGGAGCCAGCCTAACCAGTAATGGTGAGAGCTGTTAGAAGAAGAAGAAGAAGAAGAAGAAAGACTTTCTGAAAGTGATGGATGGCAATTGGCAGTTTAGGTTCCATTTAAAGCCAACGCAGCTAATGCTATCACGCACCACAACATCACGTATATGTAATATTATTGGGGGTGATAAAATTGCCATTCTTTTGCCATTAAATATAGGAATCTTAAGCACTTTTTGATTGCCGTTGATTAAAACATCCCATCCGTATTAATCCAATCAATTTGGGTTTTCCTCTTGTTTTAATTTTTAACTTTTAATCAGTTTTAATAAAATAAAGTTTATTTTTTGAAATAAAAATAGAAAAAACAGTAAAAAATTCCATAAAACTCGATATTTACTACCATAAGAGAAACCATAAGAGTTCCAATTAATCTGTTCTAGAAACTAAGAATTATTCTATTTATCATTTTTGTTTCTTACTTTTTCACCAATTTTTAGAAATTTCTCATCTATCGAACTTTTAAAAATTTTTCCACAATCTATCACTAATATAAAATGATGGATAAGTGACGTTAATGCAATTAAACTTATATTTCTCTTAAAATGTTTATTAATTTAGCACTTTTATCAAAATACACAATCATATATTCTATTTGATAAATATAAAAAATCTTCATGAAATCATAAAGATATGAAACAAATGAGTTGATCGTCATAATCCATGAATAAAACTTCAAATGAAAAACGTTCATCCGGAATAATCAACCACGCCTATTAGCAAATAAATCGTATTTCTTTGGCGAATATTGAAGAATATTAATTAAATGAAAGGTGATGAAATTTTCATGTTGAACCAAATCCTTTTAGGTATTTTCGTGTTTCGTTGATATTCACTTATCATTTATTTATCATTTGTAGAGATCGTCTTTCAGACTCGTTAAAACTGATAGAAATCTGAAAAAATAGAAATACAAATTGGCAAAGATACGATAATCAAAAGTCTGATTTTTTACCTGCCAAGTTCAGTCTTCGATGAAAATAAAAAAATTATTGTTAATGGAGCTTCAAAGACTGAGTACAACACAAGTTAATCCAAAATATAAGCAATTGATTCTCGCTAATTCCTCATTTATCAAATCAGTCTTGGCTCAATGTCTACTAATTATTGATACTCTACAAACTAATTTAAATCTGCCTAGTTCAATCTAAATCTTTTTTTCCAGTAGCTTTCATCATTTTTATCTAAGCCTATTTCACTAATTTGTCGAGCCAGACCAATTTTACCCTAGGAATCACTTGGAAACAGAAATGAAGAGCATCACTCAGATTTCTTAAAAAAAGCCTTATTTTTGACGGTATCAATGCTCTATTAAAATGAGTGCAACAAACTGCTCAGATAAACTATCTTTAATTAATTCAATAAAAATATAATCATGCAGAAACATGCAAAAGAAAAAAAAAGAAATGTGGTTAAAATACGACAAAATATTGTATAATTAAATGAATCTCCATGCTTATTGCCCATAGCAAATAATCATAAATAATGTTCTTCGAATCACCTCTACTAATTAAGCGTTTTGTTTACTTTTATTAAATATAGTTTTATTATTGAAATTATAATAAATAAGTAAGCACTAATATTTCCCTTTCTAAAACTTTAAAACATTAAAGCTTAAGAATTGTTTATATAAATAGGAAATTTCTTTGTTTTTACAATACAAATCACTTAAAATTAGTTTTTTTCGGGTAATTTAGGCCTATTTGTCTATCCTTTCGCCTATCGGCCTCCTTGTATAGTTGTAATTAAATTAAATTAGTTGTTTTCAACTAGTATAGGCCTATCCATTTGCCTACTGTAATTGTGATAAGCCGTGCTTGATTGAAGAGTAGATCGAAAATCTTCAATCTATTTCCAAAAGGCGATGAATTGATAAAAATACTTCCTTTTTTAGTGTCAAATTTATGAGATCAAAAGGCTTTATCTTATTTACATTAGCCTTGAATCCGATTTGCTACAATCATTGATATACTATTTAGCTTCTCTTGTATTTTTCTCTATATAACTAAGCAAAGACAATTCTCCATTATCAACGTATTCAAGATCAGTGATACTGTGCTCTGGATTGATTGACTGTGGACGAACAGCTTTTATCCTTCCATAAAAATCTTTCTAAATATAAATATTTTGATATTAGGCAAAAAAAAAACTGAATTAAATTGGGTTAGATTTGTATTGAAAGATCTTGCAATGTCGTTTGAACAAACGACGATTCTTTGCAGTCGTGAAATAACGACCTTGAACGTTCGTAGACATAACCCATCATGCGTTTTGTACTGTTTCTCACCATTTTCTTTCTGGCACGGTTAGAAATTTTTTATAATAAAAGTTCATTCATTGTTACAATCTTAACAGTTTTAATTTTATATAGGTTTATTTTTTTAATTTTAACTTTAATTTACTTTTTTAATTTTAATTTTTATAATTTTAATTTTCTTTCTATTTTTTTATATAGGCTTATTTGTTATAATGATGCTTTTTTTTCTAATAATTACAACATTCCTGGTTTAGTTCCACCAATTCTTAGTACTCGCATTACATTACCTTTTTGTGATTTGGTAATCGTGGCACAGACTTTACATTTTTCTATATCCATCCAGATTTTATTTTTATTCATGAGCTTCAACACAATCACTTAATCACTTATAAAAATAACTAAATGCCATTTTTTATCTAAAAAATGTTATAATATCATTGAACTTCGAAGCTTTTAGTAAAAATATGGCTTTTTGACTTATTATTTATTAATTATAAAAATTTTTTATTAATGCTCATTTATTTTCATTTTTCCTCTCTATTTTTCCCGGCTTTTTTTTGCTTTTTATTGAATGTTAAGTTCCGATAGCCGGTTTATCATTCTCAGCTTTAATTCGATTTAAATGCAACTGATAAGTTATCATCCATGATTATTATTTGTAAAGTTTATAAAAGAAAATATTTATATGCAACAAATAGCTAATAATTCTTTTAAAATTCAATTTATCAATAATTTTTTTATTTTTACAAAGTCGAAATAAAACAAAATTAACTGCAAATATAATTCGACAATAGAAAATAATCGATGAAATTTAGTTGATAAAACAATAAAAATTGAAACTAATCGACAGCATATAGTAACTTTTTGATAAAAATTTCAGAGGACAGTGTCCAAGAAAAAAACAGCTCGAGAACTTCGATGAGAACAATCATCCACCTTCTTTCAATCCACCAAATAGCGTTCCACCAGACATTTCATCTATCACTATCAATTTCATTCATAACGATAAATCCGGTGAGAATAAAAAACTATTATTTATAGTTCTCGTCAGAAAATGATAAAAATTTCAGCCAACAAGTGAAAACAATCCTTGAAGATTTAAAGCAGCGGCTCACTGGCCAACATTTCATATTAAATTCTAAAAATGTAAGTATTTTCTTAAAAAAAAAACTAATTCGTCCAGTCGAATTTTCAGTTATAAGAATGAATGAATGTTTTGGAATATTTCTTCGAAACACCATTCCTTATTGAGGAAAATCAGTTCAAAGCTCTTTTTTCTATTTTTCATAAATTAAAATTTGTTAAAATAAGGTTGGAAGTTTCAAAATTAGAATGTTTCTTCTTATGCAAATTCCAAGGCTTTTTTTTATTTTTTTATGAAATTTTCATAAATTATGTGAAAAGTGATAGGCGCATTGATGAATATGCAATTTCAGCTAATAAAATATGCTTATTTTTTGCAGTTTAACTGTTCAAAAATTGAAAATGTTGATGAAAAATGCACTAATTATTCGTTAAGGAATTCTTTTCATCTTCTCGTCGTGGAAAATGCGTTTGTTTTTATTATTTTTATCAACGTTTTCATTATTACTATTTATTTTACTATTATTATTTATTATTACCATTACCATTATTGTTTATTTATTGTTATTATTGTTATTTTGCTTATTATTGTTATTACTATCATTTTTTATTTATTGATTTTATTATTATTTGTTGTTTTTTTCAATTATTATTTATTGTTAATTATTATTATTTTTTACTATTACTTGCTTTATTATTTATTATTATTTGTATTTTATTACTATTATTATTATCACTATTAGTTATTATCACTATTGTTTACTATTATTTTTGAAATTCCATAAAATTTTATTTCAGATCGCGCGATTCGGAAGTTTATTCAATTGAAAGAAAGTATAATACTGAAAAGGAAATGGTAGAGATGTCAATATTAGAGTAAGGTATTAAAGCTATAATAAATAAACTAAATATGCTTATTTAATAATAATATAATATGATTTCAGTGTTTTAAGCCGACATAGTAATTATGATATGACAGTTTTTTCAAGTAATGAAGCCAGTAAAGTCGTTGGATTTGTACGACGTTTAGATAAAAAGGTATAATATCATAATTTTTTTCGAAAAAATTCTGATCCAAACAATAGCAATTTATAATTTTCAAATAACCCTACGACTATGAAAATGAACATGGAGAACTGTCTGTGCATCTTTGTGCATTTACTCAAGTGGATCTTCCACAAGAGTCGTCTAAGCTTCTGAGATTATTAGATAGTGGAAGTAGCTAAACCAGAATTGCTAATTATTAGAAAAAGAAGAATGAGAAGAGGATTCCTTTCTTTTTTCCTCTATTTCAAGTGCTATATAGTTTTATAGACATAAAATTAAATGAAGTGTCACGTTGGCCAGTCTATTAATAACCAATCTTAATTCAAGGAATTAATTACAATGTCACGTAGCCACCGGCATGGGCATCGGCACTCATATTTCATTCTGCATTCACCGTTTGAGCTGAATTTCGTCGAACCTTCTATCTTGGAATATCGCTCATTCGCCAGACCGGAAGTTTGGAATGAATTGATTCAGTTCAATCCGGATTCCCTAAAGAAAACAATGGAATCTGATGAACTGATCTTCATCCTATTTTGGACCAATGGTTAATTATTTTATAGCTGTTAGTAGTTTGCTACTTGGGTTTTGCTCCTATCCTCTCTATCCCTCTGCAATTCTTTAAAAGTTTTATCTGGTTTTTATTAAGAATTTATCTGCACCTACCTCTATTCTTAGGTGATTCTGCGGCGGTGCTTAATTTTGCCTCTATTTTTTTGATTTGAATTAATTTGAATAATTGCGCATTTAGTGGATGTCATAAGTCAACATGTCTTCTACTTGTGGTCAAAAGCTTCAACTATACTTCAGAAGTTGAATTTCAATGAGACAACGATTTTTGGTGGGATTTCTTGTCATACATATAGCGTAGAATGCTCTGAATATAGCTTATCGATAAACGATCATCGTACTATTTTTGCATATAAAAATGGCGAACGATACGCTCATACAAAAGGTATTCGTGATACTCAATATTTCATCGAATGGGTAAAAATGTAAGTAATTTATAATAAGCTTACCTAGTCGGATAAAGAAAAAAATTATTTTCCCATGAAATTTCCCCTTTTCTCTCTTGAAATTTCATTATTCCATAGCTATTGCAAATATTTTTCTCCTAAAAGAAAAAGCTTTTTTTAATATTTGCAAAAAAAATTTTGATTTTCGCAAAAAATCTATTTTCTATATTTCAAATTTCAAATTTTAACTCGATCTATTAATTTAATTATGAGTTTTATATTTATATTTTCTATTTAAAGCATAAATTCATTTATAAGAGAAATAATTGAACTGACTCAATTCATTTATGAAATGTCTGAGCTAAAATTATCAAATCAAATCAAATTATATCGAAAATATCTAAAATGAGCTAAAATAATTAAAAAATATTTAAGTAAATTATATCGCATATTATAAATAATTTTTAAGGTTATTACTTCCATCTGCAATTGAATTGAAAACCGAAAATGAGATTAATTTTGCAAGAAAAGGTTTTTCAGATTTTATAAATAAATCAAATAAATTTCATTAAATTTTATTAAATGAATTTTAATTTATTAATAATTTTATTATTGGAAATCAAAAATCACATAGAAATTCAGAAATGACGATATTTGAGTTAAATTGGATTTAATTTCACCGTAAATCTGAATTAGGGCTGAATTATTGGGTCTAAGCTTTGGCTTTAGGCGAATATCATAGATTCGGCACTTATCTTGTTGAGGAACTTTTCTTTCTCCATAACTCTGGTAAGAAATCCGATTAAATCCGACCAGTGGATAATAAAAAGCCAAGAAATATTCAGCGTAAAATTAAAGGGCATAAATATTGATCATTAAGATATTGCAAGACTCATCTTTAAAAGCCTCAGGCTTAAGCCAACCGTTAAATGGTTTTCATAAGAATTCTTAATCTACATATGGTTTTTTCTTTATTGGTTTCTGGTTGTTTTTATTTCTTCGTCAATATTTTAGGAAAATATTTAGGCAATCTTAGAGGATTTGATGAAATTCGACCAGCTATAACTATTGGAATATTTGAAAACGAGAATAGCGATGATTTCAAGACATTTCATAATTTAGCAGAAATTTACAGAGGACGATATCATTTTGCTTATTTCATAAAAACTGGGTTGAAGATTTTGAAAAGAAATTTGCAATTTTCTTTTGTTTTTTCTCATTAAAAATTATTTACAAAATATATGATTTTCATTGATATTAAATCGTATATTAATTAATTGGCAAAAAAGTAAGTAGAAGTAAAAGTAAGTAAGTAATTAAGTGACAGTAGCGATATTTGGAAATGCCTTTAGGAAACCATCAACGATGTATACGATACGTCCATACGAGAAAAAGAAGCGGGTGGATTATGAAGGTAATTTCGACACGGAATCAATGATTTATTTTCTTACTCGCTCATCCTTCCCTACAATCGTTTGTTACTTTTGTTTTCTTTTTTTAAATACATCTTTTTCTTTAAATCATTAAATAATATTCTGGCATAAAATGCTAATTTATATTTTGATTAGTTTTAGTGGTTACCATTGCGAGATTTGTTTTGCTTATAGTTGCTTGAGGGTAGAAGAATAGGTGTACTTAGTCAATGCGCCGCCTTCGCTGGTTAGGACACGTTCTTCGTCGCCCACCACAAGAGTTTACTTGTTAAACTCTATGATGGGTGGCGTCAAAAAGCGAGGTGAGTCAATCAAGATCCGCTGATACGGTCAAGAAAGATTCTGAACATATATAGGTGGACCTGCAATAAATATGGACTTAAACGATGGAAAAAGGAGAATGGCTTCTATTACTGTCGACGATGGCGTCAGAAATAGGACACTTGAGAGTTTCAATTAAGTACCAAGGCTCGTTTGATATATCGAAATTGTACGAAATAATTCGAAAGAGACTATTTAAAATTATCTTAAGATAGATATATCCAGTGGATTTACTTCTGATGTATTACTTGGTCAAGCACGACCTATCCTTATTATCTACCACTCAGTCAAACACAATATCGAAAAAATTGCAGAATTTTGCCGGAAAGATCCCTCATATCTATGCGCAGAAATTATCAGGTGCATAAAGCTTTTAAAACCAAAAGTTACATTAAACATGGTCCTCTTGGACCAATAATTCGATTTGCACCAATAAGTACCATTGCTTTTATTCTTTCTAGAGAGAATTCGAAACATTCGGATGATTTAAAAAATATTTTTCAACTAAACAACATCGATTCGATGAAAATTATTGTTTTAAAGAAGGTATTTTAATAAATTTCTATTTTATTATATAAATTCAAAAAAAAAATTTTTAATTTAAATTTTCTTCCAGAAAGATATATTCGTTATCGATCATCCGGAAGGGACAAAATACGAAGCAATAATGGCAAATATCCAAAAAGCTTTACAGGAAAAACCGACGAGTGGGTATTTTTACTTTTATATAAATAAATCATCGATTCAGTGTGTCGGAAGAATGAGAATAATCCAATTTATTAAGGAAGCATGCAAGCAAATGATATTCATCCACTTCGATTTCTTCAACTTGGCCAAATTAATAGTATTTTTGGTCATCAAAACATCGAACTTCGACCTGAGCCACAACTTCTCAATGCACATTTCCACGTAAGTTCTCTTTAGTTATTGGCCTGTTATTTTACGAAAAAAATATTGCTTCCGCCAGTAACAATTAAATAAGCCATATTTTGCACAAGCAACATGGATTCGATCCTTATCCATTGGTTTGAGTGAACCTGTCAGTTTAAAAATTATAGGTGGTGCCTGGACCTACGCCTTTATATCCTAATTGATTCTTAATAACCAGCCATCCAAACTGGAGATGGTACATGATGTCCTAATAATTACAGAAAAATTTCGATAATATATTCTGATAATATATTTTGATAATATATTATTATATATTATTACTGATAATTGAAAATAATGATCTATTTCGCAATTGCCATTAGCCTATATGATTTGATGTTTCGCGACCCTTTCTAAGTTATTTCAAAAACTTATCGTTTATCAGAAATTTATCAGTTTGTAGTAATCTCATCTTTAGCACCAAATGAAAACATCAAATGGTGATGCATATGGAGGATGTCCATTTATGTCACAGATGAACAAAGATGAACTGTAAACTAAGCTATTTATTTTATTTTGATTTATTTATCTATTTATTTTATCTTTTTTTGGTTATTTTAATAAAAAATATTGATTTTATAATTATCCACAAAAAGACCATTAAAATATTTTATTTATTTAGTAATCAACAACTAAATAGAATAATCAACAGAATAAAAAGTAAAAAACTAAAAGACTTGGCTTACAAAGTGAGAATCTATATCGTATTTTATAATTGATGAGAAAAAATGTTGAATATTGATGTTTCGTACATGAGCTGGAATTTGATAAGTGATAAGTTGCTGATATTTTGATAATAAATTCAATAACGATTTGATAAAAAACTAATGGGAAATGCAGTTAATAAGATTTTAACTGTGATTCTGTGATTCTAAAATAAGATGATTATCTGAAGTTTTATAGGAGGAAATAGAACTACCAAGAAATCCTGTTAAAATATTGGAACTAATTGATAAATTCATTAAGAAATCTGAGATGATATTCATTCACTGCAATTTTCATTGGTGGATTCAATGCTGAAATAACATCAAGAGTTTTAGAGTTTTACTAAAGAGTTCCAGAACTATGGAATCACTTTCCGCTATCATAATATTGCTGATTGTGGTTATTCCAATGTTTTTTCGTCATATCTTTCTGAGAACAGGTGTCCTCCACAACATCCCTCGGATTTACTCCTCAGTTTTTATGGCAGGATTTCTCCTGACAATGTGTCAGAGAACCGAATGAAACTTAAAGGAACTACTGCACTTGACCAGACCACATCATTTAATTTCCCTTAGTCTTCCCTGCCTGCAACCTCTCCAAATACAGTTATAATCATTTAATACCTCCAATTAACCACTTTAAAATATTCCTAAATAAATAAAATTATAGATAAAAAGTGTAATCTAAAAAATAAAAAAGTATAACCTAATTTTTTGCATCGTTTCTCTGATTTCGCCCTCAACACGTGCAGCTGAAGCATATTTTAAAGGATTTTTAAAAAAATCATCGTAGAATCCTGTTGGATCTATCGAATGTTGTCTTATTAAATGACAAGATGTCTCGAATTTTGTTCGGAACAATCTTTCACATAATGGGCAAAGAATCGTTTTCTTTGGCTGAAACTCTGATAAAATTTTGATAAATCTTAATAAAAATAGATTTAGTAACTTTCCATAACAGCTCATTCGTGTTAATCCTTATCAATAATTTCTTTATATTTTTAATTTTCCTAAAATTTTGGAATTTAAAATGTAAAAATTCAAAATAAACAAATCCTAAAGCACTAAATTAATCCTTTTATTATTTAATTGAAACGTGAAAAGCAAAAAAAACTTACCCATTGCACCTTTTCATGCATAACTCTTTTGTGGCGAGCCAAGAAATCTTCGGGAACATTCTGCGCCGAGCAAATTTCACAGTCTTCAGTATCAGTACCAACAGCAACAAGAACTTCATCTCCACTCTCAGATTCACTAGAATCATCACAAGAATCATAAGTGAAATCAACGTTGGATTCAACATGACTGGAATCAATAGAGTTAGTGTTGTAAGTGAGGGAGTCACAGCTTTGTTCATAACTAGTGCTTAAATCATTATTGGAATCGCGGTTGCTCTGAGTATTATTATCATCCGACTTCGGGCTAGTATCATCATCCATCGAACTAATGTCGTAAGGCCCGATTAATTCAAATCCATCATTGCTATCCGAACTGGAGCAACCAGAATCATTATGAACCGTAGCCGCAGTATCCATCACTGAAAAAAGACCCATATGACTGTAGTTATATATAATATATATTTATATATCGAGAACGAAGAGAGCAAAGAAGAAACGTAGAAGAGATAGGGCCGATTCAGTTGCTTTCGCCTTAAATAGGGCTAATTAAAGAGGTCAGAATACAGGGTCAAAATCCTAGCAGTTAAAAATTGAGGTCATTTTTCCGTGTTACTCTTTTTTCGAACAACACTTACCTTCCTTTGCTCAACCGGCTTGAGCGAATAAATTTTGCCAGGCGATCACTTGTTTTCGAAGGTTCATTTCTGCGGGTGGTTAAATTTCAATATCGATGTTCCGAAATGAAAACCCGCTAAGCCGTGTCCTCTTTTACTATTAGAAAAATAAGAAAAGAAAAGATATTGGACAAACTTTGGTGATCAGTGATAGAGCCCTCTGGATGTTCTCTGCTCTCAGGATTCCTTCATACCTAAAAAATCCTAGAAATTGCCGACTTCGGGATAGTTTCATTATACACCAATCATATCTGGTGACGTTCCCTGTATTATTTCTAATTTCCTGAACACAACAGTCACTTTTAAATACAAACAAGGAGATACGGAAAAAGTTGACCTCGCAGGCTTTAGAATGGAAGCCCATTAACGAAACTTCGAAGATTGCTTAATGAACTGGTCTAATCTCCTTCGCAAATGATAATAGAGAGGTTTGGTTCTTCGATTTTAGGCAAAGCAGCACGATTATCGCCTCTCGATACGAATAATGCCGCCGTTAAAAGTGGAATCTAAGTGGCGCTAGGAATTCCTCAATTTACTCTTATGCAAAAAAGTTCCATCCCAGTAATCAGAGAAAGTCAAGCGAGAAATGGTGCACGTGTTGTTGTATTTTAGCACCAATTTTAACTTCACCCTTTGTTTCCTAAGTGCATTAGATAAGAATACTAAAAGGCTAAATATGTAACCGTTTAAAAAATGAATGGCCTAATGCTGTGGCCAAATCGATGAACACGAGGCCAGAAAATTATGATACCTTAACGCTCTACCCTCTGTGTTTTCTCTACATATTTATATACAATTCTAATCGAAAAAATCAGAAAAATTAAAAATAATAAGCAAGCAGCCTATTCGGTTTACGCATATCACCAAGAAAGACCAGTATAAAAATGAAATCAATAAATGACATTTGACCTTTTATTGGCGTAGCATTTGACCTTTTTTGTTTTAAAAAGAACAATGCTGCATAACAATTCTCAAAAAATTCGTCTTTATAAGAAAATTAAAAATGGAAATGATCGCATGCTAAGTTCTACAATCAAAACATCTTTATTCGTGGATAAGTTTATCATTGATTCAGATAATGCCTGGAGAAAAGTACCCCAGCCTAGCAACAACGTCTCTATTAAACAATCTCATCAACCATGCAGTCAGGCCAAAACAAGAAATAATGATTGTTGTTTGCAGAAGGACAAGCTTACGAGGGCGAAAAATCTATTATTTTCTGCAATTTCTTCTTTATTCATTTTATTGCTTTCATTTCATTTCAATATGAATGTCTGATATTTCTGGCATTCAGTATTATATTAATGTTATATTTCTCTATTATTTATTATAAATATCAACTGCTGTTTTCCTCTTGCATCACATTATCATTAATCTAAATGTATGGCCATAAAACTTTAGAATCTATTGTTATCACTGCTGAGCGTATGGCTTATCAGTTAGTCGACCTGACATATCCTAGTTGTTTAATGCTGCTGCAAACCTAACTTATAATGCTGGAAGTTAATAGAAGAAGAACAATTCACAATCTTGCTTCTTTCACGAAAATGAATAATAAATAGAAAAATAAAATCCGAGTAGTTTTCCTTTCACTAGGATATTCCTCGGTGAGAAAAAATCCTCACCAAAAAATAGTCAATAGAACCAGTTAGATGAGAAATGTTGAGTACTTTTGGTGCTTTATTTTATTTCCACTGCATACATTTTTACTTCATATTAATTCATTTCTCCCTCTCTCTGTCCACTCTTCCTGTTTGCGGTATTTTTTATAAAATGCAAATTTAGCTAATTCGATCTTATTTTTTAGGCTTAGGCTTAACACTGGCAAATATGATCTCCATTTCATTTACTTACATATTTATTATTATTGTTGCTTGTCGTTGCCGTTTAAAACTAATATTAATGTATTAAAATTTTACAATGAATAAAATTTATTACAAAAAAAATTGTCTAAAATAATATTTTTCTAAAAAACTAAAAAAACTTTAGAATTATCGACAATAAGTAATTTATAAAGTAAAACGAAATTTAAAAATACAATAAAACGAATTTTACAAAGTCGAAGCGCAAAATGCCTAAATATAAAAAATCAAAAACCTTGAAATATTTTTTAAGGCCATTTTTTTCTCTTAAATTTTCTTAAATCATCCATTTTTTCCATAATTAATAATTATATTTCTCTCTCATTTCTACTAATTTTGAGAATATTTCTATATTTAATTTTATTCATTTTATAATTTAAAATTTATAAAATTTAAATTTTAGTCTCCGAAATTTCTAAATATATTTTTAAATTAGCATAATTTAATATAAAAATTTATAAGATCATTCGTATTTATCTATAAATTTTTCTTTTGAATATTTGATTCGATGGCACAAAATTTTTTTCAAGAAATTTTTTTCATAAAATTAAATTAGGCATCTTTTCGCGATTGTTCGTCTCCTATAAATTATTAAAATAATAAACAAATGAAAAAATGAATAAAAATTATTCAAATAAAATATTTTAATTTAAATTTTGGTGCAAATTTGGTGTTTCTTTCTCTATCTCCAAGTGGTTTTATAGAATTTTAGTTTAAGTTGAACCAGACACAATTAAAAATGAATGAGCAGTATTGTTAGGCATGGAAGAAGAAATCCGAATGGTGCTCTAAGCGACCTTTGCTTCTGTTATAAAAATAAATCTTTGGCAAAATTTGTCTAGTTTAACAAGCCATTTGAGGGAACCTAGCCAGAAATGGTTCCTCTTATTTCCTATTAATCTTTTTCGCAAAATAAATAATCTAAGTCAAACAATTTTTAGCGGATATCTTAAATGATCTAAAAATCTGGTCTTGGCTCTTTCTTTCTTTAGGCGTGCCAGGAAGCATTTGGATGAGGGAATATACCTTTCCGTACTTATGAAATAACTCTGAGTAGAAATATAGGCATTATTAGGCACGGTGAACGAATCGTTTCGGTCAAGCAAAATAAATTCTATTCCTATATTTTGATAGAGGTAAATAAACCATTCACAAATGAGACTCGCTTAATGCTTTAGATTCAGATTTGCATATATTCTCGAGTGATTTCCTATCCCTCGCCAATGGGCAATGGTGGAAACCAACTCATATTCGATTATAAATGGCCTATGCTTTAAGAGTAAACGTTAATATCAGCAAAATTATTCCACAAGGCCTAAATTTTTTGTGAAATTTTAATTAAATTTTAATTAATTAAATTTTTAATATTCGATTTTAATTTTCCATTATCAGTGATCAGCCTAAGATCATTCGTATTTATTCGCATTCCTAAGCTATTATTGGCTACAAAAGAAATCGTGGATATAGCTGAATGCAAAGATGACCATAAATATTTGGTGCTGATTATCAGAGAGATATTAACAGTAAATGTTAAGAAAACTGTTAAATAATGTTATAATCACTATAATATTAGAAAACTTATCATACTTGTTCTTTGTGACATATTAAATACATTTTCCGCTTTTGCAAATTTCAATGGATCAATGAAAAATTCATCGTAGAAACGCGTAGGGTCAATTGAATGTTTACGTATAAGGTGACATGCTATTTCAGTTTTTGTTCGGAATAATTTTACACAAAATGGGCATTTGATCGTTTTCTCTGGCTGAAAATTATTTTACAAGGTTCAATAAGGTGCTAATGGACAGATTGGTTAGGAAAGAAAGCTTTGTCAGAGGGCCATTTGTTACAAGTGGGTTCCCGAATTTTGTAATGATTTTGGCAAGAAGATCGAATCACGATACTTGAAATGATATCCAAACCAAATCACCAGTTCGCTGATATTTAAAATCTTAGTTCTAAATTCTAAATTATTTGGCTTATTTGTTTTTTTTTGGGAGCACCATTACTGATTAAATTCGCTTTGCCTAAATGGCTAGCAACCTATTTATAAAATGGAGTGATGTCTTCTAGAAAGGTTTACAACGAATGAGCATTTTCACTAAGCGACGGTCTGAAACTCCTCTGCATTTCTACTATTAAACGATTCAAATAATCAGTGGAATTAGCCAAACTAGAATTGGTAAATGTTATTAAAGGTGGGGAACGAAGGTGAGTACCACAAAGTCCTATACTAGGTTGATTTTTTGGAAAAATAACATATGGTCCATCTCTTAACTCGGTTTAAATTTCGCGATCTATGATTGTGTCAATTAGTTGATATACTAAACTTAGATGGAAAAAGGGAGTATAAAAAAACGATGGTACTTTTACCATAATCAATAACTAACTAAACAACAAACAACTAAGAAAAATAAAATACAGCGAATAAAGCATACCCATTTTACTTCTTCATGAACTACTCTTTTATGGCGTAATAAAAAGGGTTCGGGAGAATTATTGTCCCAACATATATCACACATATCAACAGGAATCAGTTCTCCATCAGAATCACCGGAGGAATCACTGGGTTCATCACCATCATCACTATCATCGTCTTCTTCATCTTCATCATCTTCATCACCATTATCATCAAAGGGTATTTCGCCTAAAAAGTTCTTCTGACACTAAAGAAGAAGCTGAATATATATAAGTAAATATAAGTTACTATTTATTTTAAAAAAAACTGACTGATAAGATTATCTTATGAATTTTTTTGTAAAAAATATTTGATCTTCAAAAAATTCTATTCAGAAAGACAAAAAACATGTAAAATATTCAAAAAAATGTGGAAAAAATTCAGATGAAAAATTTTTTATCATTCTTACCTATTGTATTTATAAGAAATGAAATGAAATATATAATAAACAAAAACTGGCAAGAAAATATAAAAATAAAACAAAAGAATAATATTTGACATTTGACCTTTCAGAAAACTATGCAAAATTTAACCTGGACTTTGGAATTCATCACAAATTTTTCTTAAGCCTGAAAAATTCCAATGAAAAATTTTTTTAATAATTTCGAGAACTTAAAGAGACCAATCTAATATTAATTTCACGAGTCATATGCTGGAAATCTTTGAAAAAAAATTTTTTTAAAAATAAAAAAGATAATAAAATATAAAAATAGAAAGATAAAATAAAAAAGTTTTTTCTCTCAGTTATTATTTCTGATCGGACTCGTTGCCCTGTCTGTCGGATCTAAGCAAATTATCACTTTATCATAGAAGTATGGACGAATCGCCAGCATCACCTGGTTTCTCGGAAGCCTAGTTCACTTTTGAAGTAGAACCACAACACTGGAGCACCAAAATGAAAGCAATAAGCCACTGAGCCATCTTGATGAAATGGCCAATGCAACATTCAAGTGAACCAATAATTCACCTATAAGGAAAAATTTTTTAAATATAAATTATATCAATTACATACGTTCTGAGCATTTCTTCCTTCTTTCAGAATCATATTCATATTCTGTTTCTATTACCTCAGTTTGATATCCGATATCTTGAAGAAAATCTTCCAATTCCCCCAGGCGAAATGTGTCTCCTACTACATCGACGTTAGCTTCTTCTTCTCCAATTGCTATGCCTGGTTCAGTTGTTTCGACTGTATGTTCTGGGACATCAGTTTCTTCACTTCTTTTCAATTTTTTGGTGACTGGTGCCAGTTGCTCTTCGCCTTCTTCAGTACTGCGTTCAGTTCTCTCATGTTTTAAAGGCCTAAATTCAACAAATTCTTTTGAAGATAAATCACAAGAAAAGAATATTAAAATAAAAATGGATAATTAAATAAATAAACTAATAAAATCTCCTATCGTAATTAAGTGATCAAAAAATTATTGATTATTGAAATGCAAATGATAAATTAAAAATTGGGTTTTTATTTTTATCAAACATAGAGCTATAGTTATTTAAGAGAATATGGCCTATTCTCAAGCATCACAGATCGATCCTCACTCCCGACAAACACTCCATCATTTAAAAGTTCAAGTGGTGCTGAGAATCTATCTGATTCCTGCTCTTCAATTCTTCCGTCCTCAAGTGGCTCCCCAACTGGCAACAATGTTTTCTAAATTTCCCACATAATTATCGCTTTTTAATAATCATTTTTGTAAGCATAAAGAGGAAAAAAATGATAAATAGAGATTTAAGATGAATAAAGATTTTCTCGTTCAGCCAAATGGATTTAGTTTAAATTTTAGGCTCATTCAAAATGTTTGATATCATAAATATTGGTATCATAAGAATTCTTTTATTTTATTCTTTTTAAAAAAATTCATTCTCATAAATCATTTTCTAATATTCAGAGATTGAATGACAGTAAATGGCTGAAAAATTAATAAAATCCGGATGGTAAAAAGAAACCTGTTTGAAACTCAATGGTCAGTGAAAATGATTTTTTGACTTGTGAGATGAGATTTTCATAAGATTAGTGCTCATTTAAATCAGCCAAATAGCAAATAGCTAATCAGAATTAGTGGGAAAAGAATTCGGAATAGCTGATGCTAATCAGAATTAGTGGGAAAAGAAGGAAAAAATGAGCATCGAACAATTTCCGTTCATATATAAATGGAATAATTGACGTATGAACGAAAAATGTGGTTCATGCATGATACATACAAAAAAACGCATGTTAACCAAATTCATGAATATTCTATGCAGTGACTTTAAAATAACTTAAATAACTTTAAAAATGCTGACTTAATTTTTTAATTTTTCTTTAATTTCGTAAAATTATATTTAAAAATTATAGAAAAAAAAATATAAAATTCTTTGATTAAATTTTGGAATTGGAATTGGCTTAATAGGGTTTCAATTTCAAAGCACCGATGCTGAAGCTATCTTCTATGTATTTCTATTGCCAAGAGAAAAATCTGTCTGGTGTCCAGCAACAACCCAGCGAGGCGAATCTCTGATAAAATCTGATAAAACCTCCCTGATAAAATCTGTCTGGTGTCCAGCAACAACCCAGAGAGGTGAATCTAACCAGAAATGGTGAGTGCTCTCAGAAAAACGAAAGAAATTAAACTATAAGAAAATTACAAAAAACCATAAAAAAGCATTTTAAATAAATAAAGTTTTTTAATATATTTTATTTAATATATTTTATAGAATTTTTGGAATAAAACTATGAAATCGCTTACCTCTTATCCTCAGAAGAAGACTGTCTAAATGGAGGCAAAACCATCGAATTCACCATTTTGTCGATTAAAAATTTGAATAAAATTGTGAACAATATGACCAGTACCATTATTATCTTCAAAAAAAAATAATTTATAATTGAAAGTTTCCAAATAGATGAATTCAATAGTACTCAAATTGCTGGGTAATGAATCCAAGAAATTCTTGACAGCATTTCAGAAGATCCTCGAGTTCCTTAGGATTATTTATTGAGAGGAAAAATTTTAATGAACAGAACTTTTAACAAAATTTCTTAAATTTTCATTCTATCCTATCGATAAATATCGATAAATATCAGCAATATAGCACAAAAGCTCTTTAAAACTCTTCAGTCAAGGATTTTCGTAGGAAATATTAAATAATAATAGTAAAAAAAAAGTAAAAGTTTTATTATATTTTATAATCTAAAAGATTAAAAGAAAAAGAAAAATAAAAAATGAAATTTTTTTATAATTAAATCGATTTTGAAAAAAATTTAAATTTGTATTTATAATAAAAGAATATATTTATAATAAAAAATTATTTTTAAAATTACATTTTATGATAAAAATTATGTTTCATTATCATAAAATATTATAAAATAATAATTTAATAAAATAAAATTTATCAAAACAAATTTTAAAAGAATGAAAAATTTACTAAAAATAAAATGATGAAAATGAAAAATACCATCCAAATAAAAAGATGAAATGAATTTATAGAATCGAGCGTATTCGCCATTCTGATCAATGAAAAATTTCAATTTTTTTAGTAAAGAAAAGCAGATCAAAATTTGGGAGAAAACCGCTTATTATTTGGTTTTTTAGTAATTTTTTAATAAAAATATTAATTTTTTAAGAAAAAAAGTTTTTTAAAATTATATTTTACATTTAATATTTATATTTTCATATATATTTTTTTAATATTTTAGGAAATGAAATGAGAAAACGAATATTTTTAAAAATGTTTTGCGTTAGTATAATTATGGTACTTCAATGTTTCAGCAGTAAACCAGCAATAATTACTTTTATTTATATAATTTTTTTTCCCACAAATAATCTAAATTTGGTCCAATTCAGCTTATAAAAACTATAAAAGTTCCAAGAAAAGTTTTTATGAATTATATAAATTATGATTAGTGAAAAATTTATAATTTATAATTTCAAAGCCATGAAATCCTTTAGATACTAGGTCATCTCAAATTATCGTGTAGGAATAGAACTCCAGCAGTGACATTCCAAAATGTGAGTAATGACTCACTGAACCACTTTATCTTCGTTCAGGGGCCGATTAACACCACTTAGTCAATTAATTATTAATCCATGCAAATACCTTGGATATAGAAATAAAATTTTTCCAAATAAGTCCCTAACAATTTCATGGAATATGCGTGAAATTTTAAATAGTTACCAAGAATTAGTGGAACTGTAGAAGTCCTAAATATAAATAATGCTTCCTTAAGGAAAGAAAAATATTTTTTTTCCGCCTAGTTTTAGTTATGATCCCATCCTGAAATAGTTCATTTTATTGATGGATTATGGTCACTATTATATATAAATCAAGGAATCATTCAGAGAAATGGCGTAATTTTTTGTTTTCTAAAAGTGCTCACTTCACCATTTCCGGCTAAGCTCATCTCGTGTCACTTAACGTGTCAGGCCAAGCAGATTTTGCAAGGAAATCATTTGGTGGATTACAGTACAGAAGAGTCGCCAGGATCAGTTGAATGGCTTGAATCAAAAAATATTTTAACTAGTGGAATTATTTTCGAAAAGTTTGGCTCTTATTATAAATTTTCATCTTATTGTTCAATTTTTTTTCGTTCTAGAATTTTATAAATATATTACTATACTATATTTTCTGCAATCTGATGAGAATTACTTGATGTGATGAGATTTTGCAATTTGCATATAATTTGAGGATAATATTGGTGAACAATAAAGTTCGCAAATTTGTCTTAACAAATCTCTTAATAACATGCACCACTGGTTCCACGTGATGGCTCTATTTACTACTAAATTTGGGTCCTTTCACCAGTGAAAAATTGAAAGATAGAGTAGAAATTGAATCAATCTTCACCACCATCTTGTAATTCAAGTTTATGATATTTAATTTGCCTTCAAAAATCAGCTTCAAAAAATCAGCTTTTGGACAATATATAATTTTTATGTTTAATTTTAAAATTTCTTGGCATTTAGCATTCATTCGTTAAAAAATATTTCAATTAGGAGAATTTTTTTGAAATAAAAATATTATAATATTTTTTATTTTTAAAATTTTTATTATAAAAAATTTTTTAAAAATTATTTTTTAATAATTTTAATTAAAATTGAAAATAAGGAATAAAAATTTCCATAGGAAAGATCCACGCAATAATAATTGCTGAATTTTTAGTGTTTGAAGAATGAAAAATAAATCTGGAAATGCGATTCATTCCACGTCTAACAAGTCGATTCATTTCACGTCTAACAAGTCGATTCATTTCACGTCTAACAAGTCGATTCATTTCACGTCTAACAAGACGATGCACCAATTAATACGCGAATGGCTATAAATGCAGGATTATTTTTAGTGCAACGATTAAATATTTTTGTGAAAAAATTTTCCTTCCTCTGTGAGTGATATGGTTAATTCTCAATTTTCGTTCCTATAATAAAGGCCTGGGAGCTTGGCGTTCTGCGCAATATTTTATTTGGTCCTAGCAGTACGCTCTTTTAAGTAGAGATATATGGCATTGTTCCTGGAATTGGTTGGGCCAGCCACTTTCCACTTTAAAGATCACATTCCTTAATATTTCTGCTGTCACAAAAGACCAATTCGGGGCTTTCCATACCTTCTTTAGTTCCTTTTCCAGTCCCTGGTATTTCGTTATTCTTGTCACATGGTTTTTTTCACCATTACTGGTTAAACTCGCTCCGCTAGCTTGTCGCATTGAGCAAATGTCCCAAAGAGTTCCTTGGCGATAGAAATACAGGTGAGTTGCCAGCACCACCGGATTTTCGGACAGGTTTTGCCGGGAATAGAACCTTAATATCGGCGCTTCGAATTGAATGAAAACCCACTAAGCCAACCTGTCATATGGTATTGGTATATATACATATTTAAATATCTCCAGTTAATTTCCGGTTCTTATCTACTACTGCGAAATCTGGTTGTCTAGTAGTACCTGCTTTTCTGGATGTGGGAATTCTACAGAATCTTGATCTTACTATTCTCCACGATTTTCTGCGGAATTTTCTATCGAAGACTATCGATGTGAAAACTCGAAAATTTCATGAAATTTCCACACCAAGTCTAACATCCTGAAGATTAAATCAGCGAGAAAGAAAGCGGGTTGGGCTTGATGAGTGTCAAAGTCTCTGTCTTGAATGAAAATTGAAAAATTCAGGAAAATTTAGCAAGACGGCTAAGGATAAGCCGTTGAAAGAACGAATCAATAGACATTAGAAAAAGATTAAGCAGGGGAAATAACATAGCAAAGCAAGATCCTCTAGGTGATGCACCATCAGCAGATAATTAAGGTTATTGATATTGATAAATATTAGCCGTGAATGGAAGAAGTTGAAATAAAACACAGGCATTGATCATAACAGCACAAGAATTTGCTAAGCACCACATCCATTGAAGCAGAAATCTTTCGCACTAGGCAAGAAGGGAAATTCCTTTACTTAGAATACCATATGCCAAGGTCCTGTGGGAATTCTTCATCTAGACAGATTGACCAATTAATCAGATATCGTGGTAGTGGACAAGAACTGGAAATTACTACTGATGCCAGAATATCAAGTGATATCGTGAAGAAAAAATATGAAAAACTACAGAAATGTTACGAGCTGAAAGGAAAGAATCGGAAAAGATATAGGAGGCGAAGGTCAAAGTAGCCTCAGTAGTAGTACGAGTACCAGGGATTCCTGACCTAGAAAAGTGGCTTCAACAGATTTCATAAACAACATCAATAACCTATATCCAGAAGAGGGCATTATGAAGAAAAACTAAGGTAAAACCCTTTAAGTAAAACCCTCAAGCTCTCCATATTTCTTTTAGAGGACCAGTGAGTATGAATGACTCATACCACTTACTGGGGACGTTTTTTTTCGTATAAATATATGTATACATATACATATATATATATATATATAGGGATAGAATGGTTCAGTGGGTTTCTGCTCAACTGGGAGCGCCAATGCTGAGGTTGGATTGCCCGTAGGAGTAAATCTATGCAAAAATCTCGGTGATGCTGGCGACTCACCTGTATTTCTATCGCCAAGGACTCTCTGGCATATTGCCCAATGCGACAAGCCAGTGGAGCGAGTTTAACTAGTAATGGTGAGGATTTTTAAAAAATATATATGATCGATTCATTGCTTGGTTCCCTCAGTTTTATTTACCTGAGCTTAAGCATCACAAGTTTTCTTCATTGCCATTAAAAATGGCTTCTCTATTGTTGCCCTTCCATATCTTTGCATCTAAAC